TATGAAACACAAACCCTGTTTATGTTTTGGTCTTTAAACGCACCTTTTTGGGAAATTTAAATAATAGAATCACACAAAAAATAATTGCCCCCTCGTCCTATGGACTACAGGTTGCCAATAAGAGTTTTACAAAAACTTTTGCTGTAAAAGAGTTGCCTCATTTTTTGTGACATAGCAGTCTAATAAACATAAAGGGATAGAGTTTGTCTGCAAAAGAAAGTCAGAAGCAGTCAGGATGCATAGTTCATTTTATTGACAAATGAAATTCATTTGGAAGATATTCCCTGGCTAAGCAAACAAAAGTGGAGGGAGGGAGGACAGGGAAAGGGCCATGTTGCTTGGAGGAGTATCTCTTAATCCTCTGGATCTATAATGCATTATTTTTTACATTTTCCATAGTAACTGAATCTTATAACTCCACGACTTCGTCTACGGAGAGAAAGACATAGCACAGAATCTGAAAATCCAGAAGGTACAAGCTTTTTTACAGTTACAAACCCAAAATATTTTACAGGACTAGAATTTAAATGAAGGGTTTTCTGTAATTAGCAGAATTAACCCTTGCCTCATCTTGGCTGGCTGTGGTATCGCAACAGAGAACAGCCCCTCCTTTCTTTGGGGTTCATTGACTTCAGAACATTCTTTGTAAACTTACCTGGAATAAATGCAGACTGCAACAAATTCAGGCCTCCCTGCAAAGAAGTCTACTCAAGTTGCTCATTTTGATTTCATGAGTGAAACCCATACTTACACATGTGCATTGCAGAAATGGCAACTGTTGGCATAGGTTTTGCCATTGGAAGCACAATGGGGCTCATACTCCTTGGTGCATGCTAATCTGGGAAAACCACTGCAATCAATCTTCAGAGAGAACAACACATATTTTAATGTCTTCCCCCAGTTAGTCTCAGGCTACAGAATATCTTGTATTAGTCCAAACCTAATGATGTAAAACAATGTTTTCTGATTTGGGAAACTTCCATATGTGTAGACTTGAACTTCCAGAAATCTCTGCAATGGCCATGCTGGCTGGGGAATTCTGGGAGTTGAAGCCCACACATCTTAAAGTTGAGAGGGTTGAGAAACACTGCTCCAGAATATAATAACTAGGGCTAAGACAAAAAACTAAATTTGATTTGGCTTTATTTGCATTTAAAATAATTTTAAAAATGCTGTTAATACGATTACTGTATAAAACAAGTGAAAGACAGTCCAGTCTAGAACTACTGCATGTCAAAAGAGAAACTTAATTTTTCTCCTAGAACCTTTACTGTATTTAGTAATATTCACTCCTTACATTTAGGGATAGGGCTTAAAAGACAACATCGCTTTCAATGGTGATTATTTTCAAAGACCCCAAATGTGCCAAGTATGTTGCTAAATATTATTTGAGACAGAGTCCTGGCTCATTGTGGCCATAAAATTTTAATTAGGCAGCCTTGACATAAAGGGGTATCATTCTCGGGGCCATCCATCTGGAGGACTGCAATACCTTACTTGAGGTCACTTTTATCAGTACTGTCATGGAAAGAGACAATTGGGCAGTGAGCGGATGATACATCAGCAGCGTCCCAATCCTGTTTTGAGTTTTCGGCATCTATATTTGAAAGGCATTGTTGGATGTCTCCCCTGACAGAATAATGGAACTCTTGTAGTAGAGACTTATTTTTGGCTCTCCTTTCACATCAAGCTCAACTTTGCAAAAGGTAGCATCTTTTTGTCATCTCCTTTAATAATCCATACTAATGTATTATGCTCTCTGTGAGATCAGAGAGAATACGTCTTTCACCGTGTATTTTCCAATTGTTACTAGGAGGAGGCAGAAGACATCTACCTAATTTACTATTCAATTCCCTAATTACATCTCCCATTATACTGGAAGGTCTACTTCCTTGAATGTAGCCTCACTGTTTGTTTGTTTTTTTCTTGTAACATGAATCATAAATTTACCTTTGCATCCTTAAAACTAGTTTTTTTTTTAAAAAGTCCACATAGTCCACATAAATTTCATCTCAGACATTGTTTTTTTATTGCTATTTGTCCTCCCCCCCCCACATCCCACCGCAAAACCATTGCATATCTAAATCCTCAACTGTGTTCATTAGGGTTCATTGTATACTGAAAACAAAAACAAGATTGACTCTTACTGGCATTGGTTCTTCTTCAATGGCAGCATCTAAAAACAAATGATCAAACCCATAAACAATATAAAATAAAACCATATGTTGAATAACGGTCAACAAAATAATTTTTTTCACTGTGAAAAGAGTATTTTACCTTACACATCTGTCTCAAGTGCACATATATTCAGATATTGCAAAAATGCAAATTAATGTAATGTATCACTGAATAATAGTTGAGATAAACATGATCAAATTAAATATCGATTGCTTTCAGCAGCTGACAATGCAAAAACAAAAATAAGCAAACATAAAACAGCTTGGGGGGACCTAAATCCATAACCCTTTTATTGAAATACAATCTCAGGTTAAGTATGATGGGTAGTTAGGTTTTAGTTGAGAAAAGCAGGTTTCCAGGTTTTGATTGACCATCAGAAATGGTAGTGGTTCCTGGGGCTTTAACATTTGAAAGTTGCCCAATCTTTGGACTTCAGTACCTGTGCAGTGCTCGAGTTTTATGTTCTAAGGCTGTGTTTCTCAGTCTTTACCATGTGTGGACTGCAACTCCCAGAATTCTGCCAAGGTTGAGAAACACTGTTCTAAAGGTTTGTATCATTGCCACAGAACACCAATTGTAGTTTGTGGTTGGAAGTCCGTCATAAATACAACATTCCTATGAAGTAGCCCTTAAAATGCCCACTTTTGTGAGGCTGAGTGGATAAAGTGGATCTAAGTCTCCAAATGCCATCTACCTGAAAAGGATCCTTTGCAGGATGATGTGTTACATACCTGAGTACAAAAAGAACAGCGTCAGGGTAAAAATCAGACAAAAAGCCACCTTCATGATAGCAGAAGAGGATAATCACACCAGAGCTCTTCCACCAGAATGTCTTCTAGATGTCGCTGACCCAGGTGCTGTTTAAACTTGAGCTGGACGTTTACATATATAAGCATGTCACTGCAACCTGGATTATCAAAAAAGATAGAAATGTTGACATTACAGATAGTTACAGGCGGTTTTCAGTTTCAACTTTCTGTTAATATAGGGCAATGTGAAGAACATGTGTTAGTCGGCTTCTGGGAGGGAATATTAAATAAAATTTTGGGAACAGTAAACATTTGCTAAGTCATAAATCATAGGCAAAAAAAGATTCAAAGGGAGAGCGTGAAAAAAAAAAAACATTGCTCACCAAACAGCAGTAATACACTTGTTAAAGAATACACAGAGTACAGTTTTTTAGATAGCCTCATGATAACCTTCAGCATGTGTTTCTAGATATGATATTGATGATGAAACTCTATCACAAAGCAGTGAAATTGCATTGTTCTTGCAACTGATGAATAGCTATGGCTGAGAAGAATGGATGTGACAGTTTCCCCATTCCTTGAAGAGGTTATGTGTGTTCTTGCAATCTAGTAGCCAAGAGGCTGTTAGGCAACAGTACTCTAAGGATTGGAGGCATGTGAATGGCTTCCCACTTCCTCCCAGAGAACCACTTCACATATTTTGTAGAGCTAAGTAAAAAAAGAAGATTGGATGAAGTACATCTCCTCCAGAATCCTGTTAGCTGAAAGGAAGAGAACAATAATCAATAGAAAAGTTTCCATTTCTTTTCTCTCTCACTCCTTTCCATGTTCTGGATCAAGACTGGGAAAAAAGCCTTCATAGTGCCTACTTTCTTATAGCCAGCGGGAAAGTGAGAAAGATGCTAGAAAAGAATCAGGCACTCCTGTTGAGAGGGCAATAGAATGTATGGGATGGGCAAGTGTGTGTGTGCAACAGCGATACCTGTGCCATCTGATCCTGAAACAGACATGCAAGCAGATCTGATTAAGGCACATAAGGATGAAGATGCCAACAAGTGAGAACTGCCTTTTTTTCAATTTTGGGCCCTTGAAAGCACCCCCCCACACACACACACACTCATGGGAGATGGGTTCTTTAGTAATCATTCTTAGCAGTCCTCCTGAACCCATTTCATAGATTTTTGTAGGAGTTTTTAATTTGACTTTGTGGATTTCTTCTACCAGGCTGTCCTGCACTGTTTTGTGGAGTCCTTAGCATTCATTCTGATTCCTCACCATCTGCACAGGATTTTTGTTTGTTTTATGTTCTATTTCTTCTATTCCTCCCACTTGTATTAGTAGAGGACCTTTAGACTTGGTACTGTCTTCACTTATTAGACCTTTTTAGGATATATCAGATCAATCCTTGGTCTTCTTTTCTTTATTTTTAATACCCCCTCAACTTCCATCTAACAAGTACTGTATGCTATGTGTCTCACAAGTTTCATTTTCCATGGGACTTTTAGAAAGATCTCCTCCGTGTTGTGTTTTGGCAAATTTATCTGTATCTTCTTCCTCAGAGCCCACTTCTGCCAATTCTTTAGCCAATTTGTTCCTTAATACTACCAAGGTCACTCTGGATTGTGTTGGATGGATGTGCGCTGAGAGCCAGGCCCCCATACCCATGGATGTCTGCAACCCTGAGAAGGGTGGGGGTCCTGGTTAGATGCTAATAATGTGCTCATTTGATGAATATTCACAGGATCCAAAGTTTCTGTTCTTCCAGAGAGTGTGACTTCATTCACGCATGAGTAAATCATTACAATAGTTTCCTGGCAGGTGTTCCCCATTCCTCTCTCTTTTCCAAACCGTAGTCCAGAACACTGCTCTTTGGGCTGTTCTAGATCTCCCACACTATTCTCATGTCTTATTTCAGTGTCGGGCTCTTCAATGGCTCCCTGTTCAAGACAGAGCTCAGTTTAAACTACTAGTTCAGAACGTTCTGGTCACCTTTCTTGCCAGTATCTCTTTGACCTTATTTCTACAGTCTTCTTCATTCTTTACATTCTTATGAGCTGGGCCTTCCTTTGGTTCCTTGCTCCAGGGCGATGGTCTCCGGGCCCTTAGGAACTTGGCCCCATGACTCTGGAATCAGTTCTCTTCATCTCTGTGAATATTTGATGGCCTTTAGAAGGGGCTTATTGATTTGACTAGTGGGTTAGTGTAGGTGGTGGTTATCCCACTCTACTCTCATTAATCTTGGGATTAATGGGAAATACCTTGGGAGACTGTGCCAAGAGACACTGCCAAGGGAACAGTCAAATAAGAGATAGCGTAGCCTGCAGCTGGATAGGGTGGGGCAAGAGGCTCAGAAGAAGAGTTAATTAGAGTAAGAGGTGAATGTATTTTACATTTATACCTGTACCAAGGAAAGTTGGAAGCTAATTTTCTTTTTTCTATGCCTTTTCTTAATTGATTTTTCTTTTCTTTCATTTCTTTCTTTTTTGATCTTCTTGCATTTTAACCTTTTGGAAATTTAATAAAATTTATGAAGAAGAAGAAGAAGAAGAAGAAGAAGAAGAAGAAGAAGAAGAAGAAGAAGAAGAAGAAGAAGAAGAAG